CCGCCACCCCTCTCCATCCCTCTCCATCTCTCTCCATCCCTCCCCATCCCTCCCCATCTCACTCCATCCCTATCCATCTCTCTCCATCCCTCTCCATCTTACTCCATCCCTCTCCGTCCCCCTCCGTCCCCCTCCGTCCCTCTCCGTCCCCCTCCGTCCCTCTCCGTCCCTCTCCATCCCCCTCTATCCCCCTCCATCCCTCTCCATCCCTATCCATCTTCCTCCATCCCTCTCCATCCCTCTCCATCCCTCTCCATCTCTCTCCATCCCTCTCCATCACTCTCCATCCCTCTCCATCTTACTCCATCCCTCTCCATCTTACTCCATCCCTCTCCGTCCCTCTCCGTCCCTCTCCGTCCCCCTCCGTCTCCCTCCCTCCCTCTCCGTCCCTCTCCGTCCCCCTCTCTCCCTCTCCATCCCCCTCTATCCCCCTCTATCCCCCTCCATCCCCCTCCATCCCTCTCCATCCCTATCCATCTTCCTCCATCCTTCTTTTTTCTATTCCTTTCCTTTCTTCTGCTTTATTATTTTGCTTTTCCTTTCCTTTTTCCTTTGCTTTCTCTTCATTTTCCTTTCCTTTTCCCTTTCCTTTCCTTTCCTTTTTCCTTTCTTTTCCTTTTCTTTCCTTTTCCCTTTTCTTTCCTTTTCGCTTTTCTTTCCTTTTTCCTTTACTTTCCTTTTCCCTTCTCTTTCCTTTTTCCTTTCCTTTCCTTTTTCCTTTCCTTTCCTTTTCTTTCCTTTTCCCTTTCCTTTCCTTTTTCCTTTCCTTTCCTTCCGATCTCCTTTCCTTTTTTTTTTCCCTTTTCTTTCCTTTTTCCTTTCCTTGCCTTTTTTTCTTTCTTTCTTTGCCTCTAATTTAACTTTCATCTGTCACTATTCTCCTCTGCTATGCACGCAGCCCGTTCCTCTCTTCTTTGTAAATGTGACGTCACACGATCTGCAAGTTTACTTAAGTCAGCGCAAGCAGCCGGCGGTGCAGTAGAGGAAAGAGTTGACAGCTTGCTGCACTGACAGACTGCTGCTCTTGTCTAAGGCAGAGGATGACATGCCGGCATCATACAGCCCCATTCTATGTCAGGGCACCACAAGCTGAGGATGCACATTTTACAGAAGGAATATAGTTTTGGAAGGCAAATGAGAAATTGGTGACTGAACAAGTGGCACCGGCATTGAACTATCCTGTATTTGGACTATCTTACAGCCAGACTACCCATTACCAGGACAGTCTTACATCAAGAGCAACCCTGCCACTACCAACATGATTAATTCAACTGATGCATTGGACAGTATTGCCTCTGAAAGTTCACCCCAGAATGATAACACCTGGTACGTATCGGAATGATCATCAATTTTATTTTACTATTATATATGTTGATTTAACCGCATTAAATTTTTATCAAGAAATTCTATTACGTGCTATTCATGACAATGATATGTGCCCTCAATGTCTGCCAGGGTACGCTGTCTGCCAGGGTACGACCCTTGTGGTCCAGGAGCAAAAATAAAGAAGATATACTCACCCAATCCTTGGCCCTGTGACACTGACCACTCACCTCTCTCCCCTTCCACTTCAAGTGTGGTATCTCACTCAGCATCCTCACGTCTAATGGACCTGCATGAAATGTGATGATGTCACGGCTCCCTAAACTGCTGGAGCTTGAGGGAGAAGAGGCTGCAGGGACAGCCAGGCAAAACCGAGGATTGGGGGAATGTATCTTCTGCATTATCGTCCCGAGACCAAAACATGCAGTGACCCCATCCAGTGCGAATGTGGGCAGCACCAATGCAAGGGTTAATTTTTAATAAATCTTGGAGTTCTTCTTTACTTTATAAACAAATTTGGCACTAGCCTTAGACCAGGTATTTTAGGGGGCAGCAGAAGAAGGGTATTACAAAGGTAATGGAAGGTGCAGGGAGGTGAAGTACATTCAATAAAGATATATAGAGTTGAAAAAATGCCATTAGTGTCAGTCAACAGGGATGATACTAAAGGTAGATAGATACAGTAGATGGATGGTGGATAGATAGATAGATAGATAGATAGATAGATAGATAGATAGATAGATAGATAGATATTATTTTTGGCTACCTTCCAAAATTTTGTGGAAAGCCCTGCCAGATGAACAGAGGGTGCTATAGTCACAAAGGGCAGTGTGGAGCACATACAGGTGAGATAGGTGTGCACAACCTTTTGGCCATGTAATGTAGATAGAAAGATAGTTAGATAGTTAGATAGAGAGACAGATAGACAGATAGATAGATAGATAGATAGATAGATAGATAGATAGATAGATAGATAGATAGATAGATAGATAGATAGATAGATAGATGAGAGAGAGCGAGAGAAATAGATAGAAAACATGTTTTTTTGGTCAGTTTTTGTGATACTTGTATCTATTTCATGGATGATGTGTCAGTCAATGGGGGTGATTTGGTAAAGGAGACTGTGTAGCTAGGAAAATAAATGTTCATTTATCTCAGTGAATAGGGTGAAGCTTTTATCACTTTGAACACCCAATCATAAGTCAGAGTACGTTGGCTGGCATGTAGTTGGATGAATGAGGTGAAAATAACTTCATGCAATTCTCCTCCTCATTAGATCTGAATGATATCTTTACTGAAATGATAACGGGGCAGTTTTATCCTATACTGACAGCAGAGCCGGATTAACCATTAGGCAGAGTAGGGACGTGCCTACGGGGGCCCTATATAGAGGGACGCTATGCTGGTATCTACTCTGCCGAATTCTCGGTGTTGTGTCAAGATAGCACACCGGCAATAGCAAGAAGGGTGCAATCTGCACAAAATGTACCCGCCTGCTGCAAGACTAGCGGAGCCTACAGAAACTGCCGGCTTCCGCAAACGCAGGGGAAGGACCATGGTGCTGCGTAAGGGTGCCCTGTAAAAGGCCTGTCTGCATCAGGGCAGCCTTTTGCAATGTCGGGGTCCTTCTCTGCATTTGTGAAAGCCGGCGGGTCCCTCAGTAGGTAAGGGCGCCGGCTCAGGCTAAACAGATTTCCATTCATGCCTACAGGTGCCCAAAATGGAACTCTGACTGATAGTAGAACATAAAAGACACATGTGACCACATATCTATTGTACAAAAAACTTTTTTCTCCACTGATATTTATATTATATAGTTATACTATATATATATCAAATGAAACTTCATGTATAGTACTATAGATTGTCCCTCTAGAGCAGCCGTCACTGAATGACAGACCGCGGTCCAGACACGGAACGAATGGCGGTTCTGTCCAGACTACGATCGCCGACCTGCACTTGGTTATGGCTGCCTGACAGCGGATGCACCGGCCTCCGAGGTCAGTGCATCTACTGTCGGTCATAACCCAGCACAAGTCCCCCCACTGCTTCAGTCATTGGCTGGTAGGACTGCTGTGTCTCACCCCGTCACTCCTCACACACTGCCCGCTCCACAATCTGTTCCCCTGGTCCCCCTGTGGGTCTTTCTGCCCGCCTGTCCTGTTCCTTTCTCTCTGAACAGAATACTCCATCCCAGTCTGCAAGCCTGGGATGGAGTCTGTAGCCATGTGCGGAACGCGCACTATAGGCACGCTTTTCGATGACGAAAACGCGCAAAAACACTATTTCCGAAGTCTATGGCCCAATACGTCGCAAAGAAGCTCATGTACCTTTTCAGGCGTTGGCCGTTTTGTAGCGCGTTCAGACGGGCTGAAATACGGCAAGGTGTGAACCATACCCATAGAAAACAATGGGATTTTCATGTTTGAGCGTTTTGTAGAGCGTTGAACGCGCTACAAAACGTACAGGTGTGAACCAGGCCTTAAAGGAGAACTATGAGACGGGTGCTTTTCACTCACCTCATAGTTCTAAGCCGACCTGTGACAATGAGACTGTCACAGGTCGGCTCAGTAGATCGGGAGGTGAGGGAACACATACCAGGTTTGCTCACCTCTCGATCCTGTCATGGCTCTCTGCCGTGACAGGGGAGGGGCTGGATTCCCCGCTCCGATCCGCCAGCGCTGACTGGCGGAACGGACGGGGGAGGGGCGGGTACAGCTGGCTCTGCCTCTAGGTAGGCAGAGCAAGCTGTCACTCACGCAGCTGGGCGGATCCCGTCATCTACGTGCGGCGTCTCAGTATACCGCGAGCTGTAGCTCGCGGTATACTGAGCTTAGGGTAACGGGAGGACGCTAGTTTGTGTCCTCCCGTTACCCTAAGGAGAACTATGGGGAAAAACACTGACCCCATAGTTCTCCTTTAACAACAAGAAAGGAATAGCCCTCACTTTATATAGATTTCCTCTCACTTCCAGTAGGGTTTTGAGTCCTCTTTCTTTTTGCCCTCTCCCTGTGGCCTGTCAATCACCAAAAGGGACATAGAGTTGAACCAACTGTGAAAACGTTAATGCATGGGCTGCAAGGCTTAAGGGGCCGCTGGCCAGGGCTACACTGCCAAAACTCAGGCAACTCAGAATAAGAAGATACTAAACCAATGCATTTCAGTTAAAACTATGTATCAAAGCAATGAGCAGATTGAGCCACACAGGTAGCTGACGTTTTCCACGAAAAGTTGAGTTAACTTTGCCGCCTCTTGATAGGCAGCCCCATTTACCAACAGGGAGGCCAAAAACTGCCCCAGGTAGAGTCAAGGCCAACAGTAAAATTTGATTAGTATTGTTTCCTAGAAATCTGGATGTTTGGATGTGCAGTTTTCACAGAAGGTTACCTTAAAGGTTAGCCAAGTTTCATTATATGTTCAGTTTGAATTGCTCAAGTTTGTGACAGGTCCACTTTAAGATGCTCAAAGTCATTTATCTAAATGACTCGGTTCCTTAAAGTGTACATACTGTGTAGCAAAAACATTTTCTTTTTCAGTTTTAAATACAGTAAAGACGGCTTCAAACCTCTTTCAGTTTATTTTTTTCTGCCTATGATTCATTGAGGGGAATCCCTTCACTTCCTGTTCTGTAAACCCAAAACCCAACAGGAAGTGAGAGAATATCTATATAAAGTGAGGGCTATTCCTCTCTTGTTGTTAAAGGAACCGGTGTCCCCATTAGAAGATTTCCCCTCACCCCTTGTTCTGGTGCCAACTCTAATTTTTTTGGATCACTTTTTGTCTTGGTGACATTGGCCACCAGGACAAACAGAGGTGTGAATCTACCTCACAGGGATAAAGACTTGGTGGGATTTTTAATCCTTCCCTATTCTATCCGAAACTACATTAAAGAAAGAAAAAAGCTTAGGATATACATACATGTTAAACATGAACAAAAACATTTATTAAAATATATTCCTCAATAGCCACAAAGCATATACCTAGGGTTGTCACCTTTTCTTCAAGCGAAACCTAAACACTCTAGTGCTGCACAGAGTTTCTTGGGAGCATATACGGTAGACAGCCAGGAGAGAGAGCGAGGAGAGAATTAGTTAGGAAGCCTTATACTGACCGCCAATGTAACGGAGGTATTCTCAGAGACCGCCAATGTAACAGAGGTATATACACTGACCAGCAATGTAACGGAGGTATATACACTGACCAGCAATGTAACTGAAGTATATACACTGACCAGCAATGTAACGGAGGTATATACACTGACCAGCAATGTAACGGAGGTATATACACTGACCAGCAATGTAACTGAGGTATATACACTGACCAGCAATGTAACGGAGGTATATACACTGACCAGCAATGTAACAGAGGTATATACACTGACCAGCAATGTAACTGAGCTATATACACTGACCAGCAATGTAATGAAGGTATATACACTGGCCAGCAATGTAACAGAGGTATATACACTGACCAGCAATGTAACAAAGGTATATACACTGACCAGCAATGCAACAAAGGTCTATAGATTGACCAGCAAGGAGGTGCAGCATTTGCATATCAATTAACCACGATATTTACATATGAATGAGTGGTGGTTTATTCATATGTAAATAGTGCCACCAATTCATATGTAAATATCACGGTCGAACCTAATTTCAGTGGGGGGCCAGTACCCCCTATCTTAATTTTGGTTGCACCTGTCTTGCTGTCATGAACCCTGGACAGCATTCAAAACCCGGACTGTCCGGGTGTATCCCAGACAAGTGACAACCCTCCATACACCCGTAAATCCACTTTGTGTGCACCAAACGCCTTTGCAAGCAAACCTAGAAATAACCTTGTAAATGTAGCTGCGGCATCATCACTGTACTGTACATAAACTTTGCGGAAAGCAGAACCCTGGCAGGGACCCTGCAGGCCACGCCCACTACAAACTGCTTGAGAAAACTACAGGGGCGGAGACAAATTCCTAAAATACGAACGCTCCAAGTTTTTCATTGACA